CCCATCCACCCACCCATCCAATCCATCCATCCATCCACCCGTCATCCAACCATCCACCCATCCACCCATCCACCCATCCATCCACCCATCCACCCATCCATCCATCCACCCACCCATCCATCCATCCATTCATCCATCCACCCATCCATCCATCCACCCATCCATCCATCCATTCATCCATCACCCACCCATCACCACCCATCCACCCACCCACCCATCCACCCACCCATCCATCCACCCATCCATCCACTCATCCATCTGTCTTTACCACTGGTTTTGATGTGACAGAAACATGACAGCCTCGGGTGCAGAATGAGACCCAGGGTCAACACAGAGAGAGAGAGAGAGAGAGAGAGAGAGAGAGAGCAGCAGCAGCAGTTGTGTGTATATTCTGTCTCTTTCCAGGGCGACTGTGGACCTCAGGACGGCAGCAGCGGCTTAGGTGGGCATAATAACAGCAGAACCTGCTGTGAGTCAGCATCAATTGGACGCCTACTGCGTGCGGGGCTCCATGCTAAACTGTTTACCTGCAAAGAGGATTTTGTCCCTCCCGTCCCTCCCCAGAGTCCTGCCTGTGCCCTCTGGAGGTGGACGTGGCCCAGGCGATCAGATACGGCGGCGATGCCTTGGTGGCAGGGTTCCCGGAGGCCCGGTGGGAGCAGCTGGAGTTGACTCGGTGTGCGTCCCCCCTGGTGAGAATGGGTGGACAGACGTTAGGAAGATCGACGAGTGGCAGTGCCCACCTGAAATCCCGGTTCTTGGGAGGCGGAGGCAGGAGGATGGCACCCAGCACCTGGCCAGCGGGGTCCTCCATTTCCCTCTGGATTTCCCCTCCTTGCAGACCCTGTCTCGGTCCCTGAGGTCACCTTGGAGAAGGAGCCACTGGGCCCAGACGGGAGACGGCTGGTGGCCCTGCTGGGACAGGTGACAGGGGATGGGGATGGAGCCGGGAGCAGTCACTTATGCCTGTAATCCCAGCTACCTGGGAGGCTGAAATCGGGAGGATCAAGGTTCAAAGCCAGGCTGAGACCCCATCTCTAAGTGGAGTGGCGGTGTGACTCAAGCCATGGGGCACCTGCAAAGCCCTGAGTTCAAATCCCATCCCACCAAAAAAAAAAAACATCGGTGCAAGTGACCTCTAGGGCACCCGCTCCCGTTGTCCCCACTGCTGCCATGTCTGTCCTCCCACAGCCGCCGCAGCTGGCACTCCCAGAAGGCTGCCGGGGGCCAGCGCCGGGTGCCGCGGTCACTCACTTCGTGAGAGTCCATATGCTGTCCTGCCGGTGCCAGCCCAGGGCCACCAGGACCCTTCGCCTGGGGAAGCCCTTCTTCCTGTCGGGATCCGCCTATGACGTAGCCGTGTTCTCCAAGACTCGCTTCGGCCCCGGTCCCAACCGCACGTGGCACCTGCCCGCCGAGGACCACGCAGGTGACACACGGGTTCCGTCATCATCTCCGGGTAGCTGGCATACAGCTGGTGCTCAATTAATGCTAGACGTCAACGTGGTGATGTCGCCAATGGGGACCAGCTGGATGCTGGGGCGGGGGTTGGATTGGCTGCTGCACCGGCCCCAGCGTCCAGTGTCCCCCTGACGCCTGTGTCCTTGCAGAGCCCGGGTCTCTGAATGTCACTAGTGGAGCCGATGGCACTGCCCTGAGCTGGGCAGCGCGGCCTCCGGGCACCGTTTATTGCATTGAATGGCGGCCACGGAGCCAGAACGAGAGCCAGAGTCACTGCATGGTGACCACGCCCCAGGACGGGGACCCCTGGTGCACAGGTAAGGGTCAGCACCTCATGGTGGCTCAACTGGCCTCTGTTATGGTGTCCCGGCAGGCTGCAGCCTCCAGGGACATTGAGTCCCAGGGAACTGTCACCACTTTCAAGAAGTCACACCCTCGTAATGATGTCACCTCCAGGGTGTTTTTAAATATCCAAGGTGCCACTTAGCATAATGCTGGTGGCACATAATGAGGCCTCAGAGCCGGGTGGTGGTGGCCTCACGGCTGTAATCCAGCTACTAGGAGGCTGAGATGGGGAGGATCGTGGTTCGAGGCCAGCCCTAGGCAAATTGTTCTGGAGACCCCATCTTCAAAATAATCGGATGGACTGGAGGAGTTGCTCAAGTGCAGGCCCTGAGTGCAAATCCTGACCCTGCCAAAACCAGAAAAAAAGATTAAGGAGGTGTCAGAAGGAGAGGGAGGCGTGCGTGACCCTCCTGTCCGGCTGCTGGGCTCCACGCCTCCGTAAAGGGCGGGGGAGGGCTTCATGAGGGGGCGTGGCCTAAGCTGCAGTTGGCAAACTGGTTCTGCATTGCCTATGAGGCGTGGTCACCACGACGGGCGTGGCCTGCATCTGGGGGCGTGGCCTAAGCTGCAGTTGGGAAAGTGATACCTCACTGCCAGTGGCGGGACCGCCGGAAGGGGCGGGACCTGCGTCTGGGGGCGGGCCTAAAGTGCTGTTGGGAAGCTGGTACTTCAATGCCCGTTGGGCGTGGCCTGCACAAGGGGCGTGGCCTCTACGTGGGGGAGGGGGTAGGAGCAGAGTGGGGGTGTGCGAGGGAAGTGGGGCCCCCTAACTCCAGCACGCAGGCTTTGTTCTCTTCTCCCTTTGAGACCAACCTGGTTTTGGCCTCCAGGCTGCGTGGACCTCGCGCTGGGGTCACAGGCGTGGCCACAGGGACAGTTTTGAGTGGCGGCTCCATCAGTGTCACAGTGAGATATAAACCTCGGCCTTAGGGAGCCCCATGGAGGACAAGGGCGTTGCAGTGGGTGGGGACGGGCTGGGGACGGCACAGGGAGGAGATCCAGGAGGGGGGCATTGGTGCGAGGGTTTTGCAGCATGTGTAGGAGTTTCCTATGAGCTCTTAGTGCGTAGGGACACAGATGGACTTAGTGTCCTGTTTTCCTGCTCTTCCTTCCAGTGCCCACGTCTGGAATCCCACGCCTGTGGCGATGGACGGGAGGAGTGCTTCCACGTCACCATCTTTGCCTCGATGCACCCAGACAAGCCCACATCATGGTCGTCCGTCCTGTCTCTCCTTCTTCTTTGGGGGCAATGGTGAGTGGCCCACACCTGAAGGTCTGTGTCCCCAGCAGGAGGAACGACAGGCCTGTGGCCTGACCCGGGGGACGAGCCAGAGCGATCCGGCCCACCGCCTCTGTGCAGTGCATACAGGAGGTGCTCAATCTGTGCCCGTCTGTCCCTTGCAGCCTCGGTGGCCGGGACACCACAGCACGTGTCCGTGAGGAACCACAGCCAGGACTCCGTGTGGGTCACCTGGACGCCGTCCCCCCTGAGCCACTGCCCCGGTGTCCTGCGAGGCTACGTCGTCCAGTGCCGCGAAGAAGCTGGAGGCCGGGTGTCAGGTGCGCGGGGACAGGCGCTCGGCTCCCTTGTTCAGATGGGGTCTCCCTAACTCTTTGCCCGGGCCTCCAACTGCATTCCTCCCCATCGTGGACTCCGAGTGGCTGGGATTACAGGTGTGAGCGACTGTGCCCGGCCCTGGTTGATGAAGGTTTTTTCCTCCATGATCTTGAGGGGCTGGGGTGCCTCAGCAAGGTGTCCTGGCCCCCATGTTCCTGGCCTCCGGGACCCACGTCTGCCTCCTCCCAGCAGAGTGGCAGGTGCGGCCCACCGAGACCCAAGTGACCCTCCAGGGCCTGCGTGCGGGTGCGGCTTACGTGGTCCAGGTGCGTGCGGACACGGCATGGCTTCGGGGCACCTGGAGCAGACCCCAGCACTTCAGCATCGGTGAGCGGGGTGCACAGGGCTGGCCATTTACCCAGCATGCACTGCTTCACCCTTTCCATAGTGACCACCCCAAACCCTCCCTGGTCCCTTAGACCCTCAGGAGAAAATCCCAGTCAGATTTACTCTCCCCCTTCACCAACCTCCCCGGGCCTGTTTGTTTCCCCATTGTCGAACTCCTACTCATCCTTCAAAACCCAGCCCCAAATCTCCCTCCTCCAGGATGCCTCCCTCTGACCCACGGCCACTGTGGATCCCAGTTTGACACCTTGGGGTTCAGCCTCTGCCTCCCCCAGCCTGAGGGGGGGTTGGGGGTTGCATGGAGCAGGGGTGACCCTCCTCCAGCCCGAGCTCTCCCATCCCCAGAGGTGCAGATATCCCAGCTGTCCATCGTCTTCGCGTCCCTGGGAAGCTTCGTGAGCATCGTCCTTTTGGGCACCCTTGGGTACCTAGGACTGAGCAGGTAACGCGCACCTCTCCCCGGCCTGGGTCGTTATGGGGAGGCCATCATGATGGCCTCCCCCTGGTAGGCATCAGGAGGTGACACAGAAATGGGGGCAGACGTTGGATTCGAACCTGCATCTATGGGGTCCTCCCTTCCCCCAGCCCGTGTCCTCACAGCCTTCATAACCTAAGAGCAATGGAAAAAAAAACAAGTGAGGACAATAGAAAGGGAGGAAGAGGCAGCGATACTGCTTCTCTGATGTGTTCCCTTCTGTCCCCAGGGCCGCGTGGCACCTGTGTCCACCCCTGCCTACACCCTGTGCCAGCTCGGCTGTGGAGTTTCCTGGCGGCCAAGGGGAGCAGGTAAATTCTCCTCCTCCACTTGGGACAGCCCAGTGGCCCCGAGAGAAATCCACTGGAGGACGCTAGCGGCAGCCACAGAAGTCAAAGTGGCTTCCATAACAGGAAAAAAGAGAAAAATCCCACTAGGCGGACTTCAGGCATGGCTGGATCCAGGGACCAGGGGCTCTGTGCTCTGGGTACCACTCTCCTCCCTGTAGGCTCAGGGTTTCCGGGTCGCCTGGAGACAAGGTTCAGGGCCTTCACTGATTGGTCCACGTGGTAGGTCACATGCTCACTGCTCAGCCTATGGGTGAATCAGTGCTGCGATGCCCTAATTGGCCTACGTCACATGTCCTGGCTAGAAAGGGGTGGAGCCGCGCACTGCCACAGAAGTGGGGGTGTCTGCAAGAGGGGCGAACGAGGTCGCTGA